ATTTAATGTAATAATAGCAATAATTTTTATTAATGCCTTGAATTCATTATTCCAATAATCCAAAACTGTGTCTTAGATTTATAATATTGAAAATTCAAATTGTTTTAAATGTAATTAAATTAAAAATTTAAATAAATTAAAATAATTTAACTAAACAAAATTATAATAATTTCAAAAGATCTCTCAATTGTTATAATATATTAAAAAAAATTTATTGAGTTAGAAAAAGAAAAGGCAAAAAATCTTAAAATATATTATAAAATTGTTTAGAGGCTTTAACTCCAATAATTTTATATGTCAAAATACACAGGAATTTTATCATAAAATTTTAGTTTCAACCAATTAATATTTTTTGAAATATTGATAAAAATATAATAAAAAATTTTTAGTATTGTACATTGAATACAAACATTGCGTAATATAAATGTGACTAATATATTGAATGGCATAATCCAGATATTAAACAACCGTCTTTGCCATAATAGTTATCATCACTGATTGTCGAATAACCGATAACGATAACGTTATAGCAATATTGATTTCCGTATTATAAAGTATTCTAGAAAGTATTCTATCAAATATAATCAGTTTTTAAATTTTATATTTAGAATCTATCCTCCTCCTCCTTTCTTCTGAAAATTTCTTATCGACTTTTCCGAATTATAACTTTATTACATAAAATGCGAAACATTATGTAATGAATCAATATGCATCTATTAGAATTGTTTAAAATTCTTTTCAATAAACAAATAGTATACACGTTATTATTTTCTATTTTTAAATTAAAAATTAATAAATTAATATATTATTTATAATATATTATAAATAATTTATAAATAATATATTATGATAATTACATTATAACAATTAAATTCTCTTTAAATAGATTAAATTAAAATTGATCCCTCAAAATAACAAGAATTATTGATTTATAATATAATATAATTTCTCTATTAAAAATAAACTTTTAAAATGACATTTATATGCAACTGATTAAACTTTTAAATATTATAAAAGTTATATATATAATTGACTATATAACAAAATTTAAATTTATTATATATCGATTCACTAATATTATTGAAATTATATATTTAATTTTTTTTATAAATTATTATGTAAGAGACTTTTGAGAACGATATGTATCTAACCAAATGTTTCCGCTTCGTGCCAATCCGTGCCCATTCGGCGCATCTCGTGACAGTGCGTACAAATACAGGTTTTGTTACTAGAGGCCCGCGGATTTGCAACGAGAACAGTTTATTTCATGCGTACTACGAAACGAATCGTGAAATCGGTCAAATACATGCGAAAAAACAGGTGTCATTCGTTAATTCATTTATAAAACGCTTATACTTTCATCCAATCGACATCCAAGCATTACTTGGACAAATCTTTCTTTATTTTACCTCAAAGAATTCTTTTTTTGTACTATTGGTTCCAATATGATTTGACTTGTTCCGATTTTTGTGATTATGATCTTATTCGATTCGATTTGTAGTAATTCGTGAATTTCCATTGTGCAATTAATGGATTTCGAAGAATTGGAAAACACCTGCAAAATTTTCTTCGAATTTATCGTGTTCTTAATCAATCGGATAAGGAAATCTTATTTGGTCGTATATTCAAAGCTCTTTTGAAATTCGAGTTTAAAAATATCAAAATAAAAAACTGATGTGAAGAAAGTGCATTGCAAAGAATCGAACAGGTAATGATAACTTTAAAATAATATATAATATATAACTTTGAAACAATAATATAAAATTGAAGATGTGTACATTAGTTATGAAACAATTTGTACATGATTTTGATCGATTTTTATATAATAATTTATATGAGAAAATGGTGAAATAGAATTAAGTAGAAATAACAGATAAGCATGTGAAATCTATAATTGTCGCATTTGATATAAGATAATACAATTATGGGAATAATATATATTACTATAATATTATCATAAAAATGATATTATATTATATTATATTATATGATTTAAATTCTTTTTATCGATTATTGTGATTTTATCGATTTTTATCGAATCTTCTTCATCATAATTGTATATAATGTATGTAAGTAGACGCATATGAATTTAATCGAACTATATCTAAAAATTAAAATAAAGAATTATATATATAATATATATTATATTATTATAGAGCATCGGCCTATTGATATTTGAATCTACTTTAGAGAAACACGTGAATTTATCCATGTATAATCAACTAGTATTCAAAGTATTTTATACAATTCACGTTATTTATCATGTATTTCAGATTTAGCATTGAAATATAATGACGAGAGATATTATTTATAGGAATTTATACATTTTGATAATATGAAATTAAAATTGATAAAAATTTCTAATAACTTTAAAAAAAAATCGTTAGATTGTTTTTTCGAAGGAAAAATATTCGATAGTTCTCATAGAATTATTACTATCATTAATTAATATTTTGATATAAATTAATTAAATAATGATAGATTTAATAATAAATAAGTAAAATATAATATAAATCAATATATATTTAATTTATCAAGAAATTAAGAAAAAATATTATTTATTCTTCTGAAAAAAATAACATTCTTAATATAAATTATTATAGTATATATATATAATCATTATAGACGTTAATTATATTATTTAACAATATTCATAAAAAAATTTTAAAGATAATTTTTTAAATAATTTTAATAATGTTTATCTTTATATTTTTAGAATCATAATTGAATTGAAAAAAATCAAACATACGTATATATTGCAAGTATTTATCAAAATATTATTAATTATTTTATAATTATAGAATAAAAATCTTATTTAATTGAAATGAAAATTGAATAATTTTTTAGTTTTAGAATCTCTTGTATAACAATGATATTTTTTTTTATAATAATCTAACATAAAAACATCTAACATAAAAATATCTAATATTCGTAACATTCAGTTCTAAGTACGTTACTTAATCTACATTTTTCAATTTTATTAGCATTAAATTACATGTTTGAGCGGAAATTAATCGATAATTGATGGCTATACTGTTTCTTGATTATGAATGGAACTTTATGGAATCGAGTTACAATTCCGCAAGAGTCATTTTTCTGTATATTTTGTTCGATTTTAATATACTCTTCTTATAATTTTTTCTATAAATCATGCGTCGATTACAATTAAATAAGAATTATTTATTTAAAATTTTTTTCTATAAATTTTGCATTATAAATTTTGTATTAAGTATTATATTCTTATTCTCTTCAAAAACTTTTATTATTTGGAAATGATTTATTTATAATCATTATACAAATATAATACAAAATAAAATTATTTTTTATATATAATTTCTAAAATAAAAATAATTAATTAGTTTAAAATACTTTAAAATTTCAAATAATTTTTTTATTTTTATTTTAAATAAAACGTAATAATCCTTATTTAAATTTAATAATCGAAAATTCGTAATTAATAATACAATTATTAATGATTATTTAATATTTATAATATATAATATACGATTTTTTTTTAAATAAAATAATCATCATAATCATTTTATTAATCGATGATCTAGTTTACGCTTATATAATTCAGAAAAATTTGCTGTTGAAACAGTAAATATAATAAAAAATACATCAAATAAAACATCAAGTTGATTAATCAATTTATCAATTAATGTATGAAAGATTTATAAAGAAATTCAAATCGCATTTTAAATATTAGACATTTTTATATATTCATATGTATTCAAATGATTCATTATTATACATGCAAAATAGTTATAATAAAATGCATGAAAAAAAATTATATTTCTTTTTAACTTTCTTTTTTTCTCGATGATTTTTGAATATATTCTAGAAATCAACATTTTGAATAACTTTTTCTTACATATAACTAATAATCGATTTAATTTTTGATATATATTTAATATATATTTGCAAGATTGCATGTATTATATTGAATTTCATTTAAATCATCATTCATTTATTTGCGCGTATGATAATATGTATATAAGCATGTGAACATCATTTATTTTTTATTAATATGCAAACAGATCGCAATGATAGGCAATTCATAATAGAATATAATAAAATCATTCAATCAAAAAGTGTAATAAACTTGATGAAATATTTCAATCCTGTCAATATCGAACTTAAACATTTCGCAGAAACAATGACCATTGTTACAATAATAAATACTCTAGTAATTTCCAAATTTATATTATATATATATATCTTTATATATCTTTAATATATATATATATCTTTTTATATATCTTTAATATATATATATATGGATAAATACAAAGTGTTATAATATTAACTTATTCATGTATATTTTGAATATCAAATGATCATGATGAAATGATATAGTATATAGAAATAATAGACAAATAATTGCATATTAGCCTATAAACTGTCACGGATACATATAGATAAAATTCAATATGATAATAGTATTATTTTTTGTAAATATCTCGAAAATAAGGGGATACACAAAATCTTATTCTCTTTGAGATATATCAAATTTATCGATAGAAATTCTATTTTTTTTAATCATCATTAGTTTTTTCGCTTAATCTTTATTGAAAGATATAAATTATACGTATATTATAGAAGAATTAAGGTTTACGAGCAATTACGAGCAGTTTCGTTATAATTGTTGTCATCAAATCATTTTATATTGACTTCACTATAAGAACGATTTGACCATGAACCATGAATTCTCAACAATGAATACTTATTAAAGACTGTCGTTGAAAATGGAAAGTGAGCTATACAAATTACAAATCTCAAGTTTATAAAATAGATAGTTATATCGCCTTGTACGTCATTCAATAATCAATCAATTATTTGCTTTGCAAATAATTGCAAATGTCTCTTAATATATTTTTTTTATTATTTTTCGCTTTTCATAAAAATAGATTTAATGTCTATTCTGATTAAACATATAGATATCTTTTAAAAAAAACAATTTTATTTAAAAAACTTTGAAAATTATAAAATTAAATGTATTATAATTTATATGGTTGAATTATATTATACAATTAGAAAAATTCTCGCTCTTTTTTATAAACACAGTCACATAGCTTATCCTTACTTCTCATTTACTCTAATTCACGTGTACATTTTAATTCTTGCACACTCATCTTTGCATGTTTATTCAAATTTGTTATATAAAAAAAAAAAAAACTTCACAATTTCTATGCTAAAAATAATGCTGCCTTCTTCGATACAGTTGTCGTAATTGATATTCCAAAATATTTGAAAAACAATATTTCTTTTTGTTTTCTTTATTAAGAACTTCTAGATAGATATCTATATTATTATTTTTTTAATAAAATATATTATTAAATATATTAATAACATAGCAATTTATTGAATATTCTAAATAAAATGAGCTCTTAAATATGATAATTGCGATTATTTTTGCTTTCTTTAAAATTTATTAGATTTTTTTTTTAACAGCATATTTCTAACTTTCATCAATATTAGCAAAAAAATAGAATAAAAAATCATTTCTGTTGCTTACATTATAATTTTTGCCTCTATTATGCTTCAATTATGATCATTACTTGCGATACTTACTTTAGATTTCTTTTTTCTTCTTTCGTTTTTAAAAACTTATTATGTTTTGGTTAATTATATTTGTTTAATTACACGATTGTGTAGATAGATTTGTAAAAAAAATAAGAGAAGCTCCTGCTGATCAATCAAGTTTAATCATTCTTAATTAAATCTTTTATCGCCTTAATTATCATCAATGAATAATAAATTGCATTTTATTGATTCTAGAGAAAATTAATTCCTGTTTCTTGTTCAGAAATACATTTGTATGCAAAAAACATTTTTATATATCGATATATAAAAATTATATATTTAATAGAATATAATAAAAAAGTTTTTTATAAAATATTTTCTATATATACATTTCAATGTTACTAATTTAAAAAATTAATATATATTTGCACGTGAATAATATTGTACTTTCTAAAAATAAAAATTATATTACTAATTGATTATTAATTGAATATTATTGATTGAATTAATATTATGAATAAGAAATGATTTTCAAAATTTTTGGAAAGTATTAAATATTGTCAAAAAACTATTTTACAATTCAAATTTTAAAAAGTATTAAATATCTTTTTTAAAAATTATTTTATAATTCGAATTTTTATTTCATCCATTATGCAAACTTTCAAAAGCAAAAATTTCAAAATTTTTTTCAGCATGTTTTAAATTTTCATTAGAACTAAAATCGTGCCATTTTATCAAAGTCTAGAGTAAATGCAGAACATCATTGAATGATAATTCTGAAGTTATGAATCAAAAAAATTTTTTTATATTTTTGATAATATTTTATTTTTATCATTGATTAATTAGGTTTAAAATTTTATGTAAATTCAAAATTTTAATATAAATTAGAAAAATACTTTATATACCTACAATTGATATCTATTATAAATATAATATATATTTATAATATATATTTATATATATATATATATANCAGCAATATGCCATTTAAATCACTAAAGCTACAAAAATAATTAGATCATACTATTACATCATGAGTTTCTGAGCACTTATTGGCAGACAGAGTATGTGTACATATATGTATAATCTCAAATACTATTAGGATCTATTTGTCTATTTGTACAATAATCTAATGTCTAAAAATAATTAATATATTTTGAAAAATTATTTTTTTGTTTTTTG